CGCATACTTCCCTCTCATCACCAATCCCTCCCTCTCACTCCTCTTTCCCACTCCCCCACCATCTCCCTCCCACTCCTACAATAACACACACACACAATCACACTCTCTCTCCCACACACACTTACACACACCCACAAACAAATACACAAACAAACAAACACACACACACATACACATACACACACTCACACTCTCTCTCACACACACTCATACACACACACACAAACAAATACACAAACAAACAAACAAACACGCACACACATACATACACACACACACAAACAAGCGTCACCTCTGAATTAGCCTACAATTTTCCCACTTCCCCCCTGATTCGACTTCCCACACACATGGAGGACAAAAGAACGTTCACAGCTAAGAATACGCGCACATCCCCCCCCCCCCTTTCCCTTTCCTCTCTCTCGCCCTTGATAGCCTGTTCCTCCTTGACTGATTGGCATTCGATCTCCTTGACAACGCCACTGTCAGCCGATCACAAGTTCGAGGTGTCTCTGTGTGTGTGTGTGTGCGTCTCGCTCTCTCTCTTTTGGAAGCAAAGTAAGATGTGTTGTCTCGGATGCATGTCTGTCTGTCTGTCTATCACACACACACACACACAAAAGAGCGAGAGAAAGTATCGTACAATTTCTCATCGCCTATCAATTCGTCAGTCTAAAAAGAAAGAAAAAATATTATATATTGTTTTTCCATTTTGTACATTACTTTTACTTATGAAAGATTGATTTACCTTATAATAAGTTACGCAAAGCACTGTAGAAGTACCAGTCAACCGTCGTATGGACTGGACACCTAGAGTGGAAGAATTTGATTGCTGGATCAGTGGTTGTGTGCGATTATTCTGTACGTGTAGATCGTAAACACATATATGCTTTGGGATGATCGTGTCTATGTACGTCTTAGAGTGAGATTCACCACCAACAGCTGTAGCGTTTTCTGTACGCGCCGTAAAAGTTAATCCCGCATTAAAGTTTAGTCGAGATCTCTAGTCCAGGATCAACTTTAAATACAACTCTGGGCCAACATTATCGTTTAAGCTCAAATTTTAATCCTGCACATGCGCAGAGTGAGCTAGATAATTCCATCAATCATGTATTGAAACGTAATGGCAACGTCATCAACGTTGCTATTAACTTTTATTTTTAGCAATAACGAAGCTAGTTTTCATGTCAGTTTGTGAAAATTCATCAATATGTATTCTAATAAGCTGTTGCATATTCATACCTCAGATATATCTCTCAACAGTGAAAAGAAATCCGACAAAGAATTTTGAGTTTACAGACAGAAAAACATCACTATTTCCAGGTTGGAAAGCATTCCCATCTTAAGCTGCATTTTACTGGAATTGAAATAACTTCATAACTTCAATATTAAGTTTCAAATTCAGTGTGCAGACTTTCTGATTCTTTAAACAATAGTGAACTGCAAAACCGAGCAGAAATGTATAATCATGATCCTCGCTTGCAACATCCTGAAATAAGCAACCTTACTCGATTACAGACGAGGAAGATCTATCAAAATAAAACCAGAATGATGTTACGAATATTTTATTACGGTCGCTACAGAACACGATATCACTGAAGTTTGTACTGACATATAGAGTTATTTTTTCTATTTCACATGAAAAGTCAATAGAAAACCATTAAAGTACTTAATATGCTGGTATGATTTTTTTTTATCTACAAGCAAAACAGTGTGGAAGCTTCAAATAAAATGGAAAATGTACATGATTAAACTTATATTATTGTTTATACACACCACTCTCCGCTTCGCAAGGCTGTGGAAAATTTAAATGTATTTCTCAGATTCTGTCAAGTTATTTTTTTCTTAATACATACATTGCACTGCATATGAAAAGTGGATTGAAGTATATCAACAAAGTAGGATACACAGCAATTTCTTTAATATTTTTGAACTTGTAAGGTTATATCATAGACGTACAGAATGATTTTGAATACACAACTTACGATGCAATTCGAAATTAAAGAAAATCTCAATCCCTGTCTGAGACTACCTGAAATATATCTGAAAAAGATCGCCCTCTGGTTGGCTGGCCGGAGTGTACCAAACCGTGTCAAGTTGAAGGCAGACACTTTGATACAAAATGGAAAGATGTTTCAACAGGTTCCAGTAATGTACGCATAAAAGGGCAAACATGAATCAGAGTCTATGTTAGGTTAGGGGTTTCGGAAATGTTACAAAAAAGGCCTTATGTGTATATATATATATATATTTTTTCTGTTATCAGCATTACCGTGCAATATGAAAAGTATAGTAGGGGGCTGCTAATTATTGTCACACAAATACCAGTTCTTTTATGTAAAACAGCAAATACCGATTCGTGCGTCTGGCGAGTATGTCTAGCATTGTCGCTGGGAGTACCATAGATTTGGATCAAACTTCAGTACGATATCAACTTTATTGACACGCACAGAAGAAGCCGTATTCTAAATCTGAGTACAAAAAATTAGAATCCAATATCAAC